GCAATCAGTGTTCTTCATTATGGAAAGCTTATTGTCATTTTTCACCAATCACATGGGGCGCACCATAAGTAACAGACAATACATTGTCTGAAAGGGTTATCATAAAAGCTTTTTGGGGATTGATAGAGGAAAATCTTATTTAAGGAAAGTCATTCATTCATTCATTTGTTGGACTATCAGGAAACCCACTCTTTGTTAGGAACCACTTTTGTGGGATCCACAGGGGAGGATAAAGGATAATTTTTTTTGCCTCCCAGTAGTTCACATTTTTATGATTTCCAGTATAAGTACACAAAGAAATGTTTGGTTAAATATATGATTTTAGCTTAGAAAACAGGAAAGTCTAAGAGGAGGAAAGACTTGAATCCTGAATGTAGGTGGACAGGGTAGGAAGAGTGTGGGAGGCTGAAGGGCCATTGGTGGAGCCCAGGCAGCTGAGCATTCAAAGCAAGTCTTACATTTGGGAACATCAATCCCTACTAGAAACTCATAAATACCTCTATGGCAACATATGTTCATATCAGTATTAGAAAGATTTGTGAACAATTAGTTAATCACATAAAAGAATAAAAGGAAAAAGAGCTGTGGGTTTTTCCCCTGTTGCTATGCATTCCAATGTTTATTAAATTGCATATTTGAATAAAATAAGCCCCAAAGAACTTAAGCATTATCTCCTACAATCAAGGCATAATGTGCAAAATGATTTGCCCTTAGCAGAAAACCAATTTTCTCCCAGACACAAAAGACATACTGAACTAAATGAGATCAACAAAAGAGTCTCAAGGAAATGGGGATTTTTTTTTCATGATTTGTTCTACAGATAGTGAAGGTTACTTCTGTAAGCCAAACAACTTAAATTAGTTTTTAAAGACTCTTGTCCTGAGTCATGCAGTACATCTTCAAATAAAGGGCTCTTCCTGAAGAAATCATGTGCAAGAAAATTACATATTCATATTCAAGTGAGTCTTGCTGCATAGCAGGAAATGAGATGAATACAAACCTAAATAATTCATGGTTGGGACCTAATACCAAAGGAGGGAGTCAGGGATTTCAAGGCGAAACTTATCAGGAAGTTGTAGCACCAATTTTTTTTTAAAGATAGATTTTATCTATCTAACTATTTATTTATTTTTCCATTACAATTCTTAATACACCATTATACCATAATTTATCAACCAATTTGTTTAGTAAATATGTTATTTAATAAAAATAGATACAGGAAAGTCTTCAAGTGAGCAGACATCTTTTTGCAAGCTGTTAATCTACAGGAAAGATTTGCTAATATGCTTTTGGACTTACTTCTCTCCTGTGTTAAGGAGATCATAAATGTGAACCTTAAGAATAAATCACAGCTGGATGTGGTGATGCACACCTGTAACCCCAGCTATCTAAGAGACTGAGGCAGGAGGATTGCAGGTTTCGGGCCAATTTTGGCAATTTAGTGAGATCCTGTCTCAAAATAAATATAAACAAGGCCTGGGGATGTGGCTCAGTGGTAGAGTGTTACTGGATTCAATCTTCAGTACACAAAAATAAATAAAATATAGGTTGGGAATATAGCTCAGTGGTAGAGTGCTTACCTAGTGTGTGCAAAAGCCGAGGTTCAATCTAGAGTAATGGGGAAAAAAAGTCCCATGTGTGGGATGATAAATACAGTTGGTTGCTTCTTTACCCCCAAAACATAAGCCCAACGTCCTTCACCTTCCCTGGGGTGAAGTGCAACATGAACAGCACGTGGTCGGTTAGGATCAAGGGCAGAAACAATGAGTGTGTGTTTGGGGATAAGCAACAGAAGGTCATTAAAATTAGCTCAGGTCCAAAAGGGATTTGAGGAAAAAATTCACCATGCAGTCTCTCAGACATTGCATGAGAGGGAACCCAGTAGGACTGTCTTGGGGTTCAGCTGCTCCATTCACATTGTTCATGTGCTGTGTTGCTTCTCTTTCACCCAGCATCTGCTGCATTCTGCTGATTTTCTTTACTTTTGTGAGGTGTCAGGGTTTGATCCTCTCACATGCTCTATAACCTCAGCCCTGCTGATTTTTTTTATAACCAAATTAGTAGGCTTCTTTCATACTCAATACTGTTTTCAAATGACCCAAACAGTTCTGGGAAGAGGTAGGAAATTTCATTCAATAGCCAATGAATAGAGAAAGGGAACTCATGCTCTAAAGGCACCTCCTCCCCAACAGGTCTGGGGTCTGGATTTTTACTGGCATGGGGTGATGAGGGGCTGTGGTATACATGGTGTGCTCAGAGCTTTTCACATTAAAGGAGAAGATTTCCATGAATCAAAAGCCACCTATTTTCTTTCCTACTTTGGGCATAGTTGGATCTGTCATGGTACCAGTGGGTATGGTTTTCAACATTATAATGAGACTATAAAGATTCTCTGGAGTATCAACATGGTGTCAAATCAGATTGAACTGGTCTAGAGTCCTACATGGTTGTTGGGTGTATGTAATAACTCAGTGGTCAGCAGCTAAAAGAATGTAGTCATTAACATCAACTTTAACTTCTGCAAGCAAGGGACATCTTTAAGCAAATAGAGCTATGAGACTACAGGTTATCTGTAATTTCAGGGTTCAGTCTGGTGACAATTTTGTTAGTTTTAATTCAGGTAACAACATGCTTACATTTTTACAGGGTATAATTCATTGTTTTTTAATGTACTCATAGAATAATGCATTGAGGAAGGGGAAGGAAATATGGGGAAGACAAACACTTCCAGGGCACACCGCCCGAGACCCATGTCCTCCAGCCATACTTCAACTGCCTACAGTGACTACCCAGTTAGTCCATTCAAACTAGGATGGATGTATTAGATTACAGATTTCACAATCTGATCACTTCACCTATAAATATCCCTGCATTAACACAAATGCTTCTGGGGAGACCCCTCATATCCAAACTGGAACACATTCTCACCAGCATGTGTGAAGGTTTTGATTTTTCCATATCCATGGCAGCAACATTGTTACTGTCTATTTTACTTTAGGCATCTTATTGTGGTTTTAATTTGCATCACCCTAATGACTAGTGATTTTGAGCTTCTTTTTATGTGCTTAGAGGACATTTGTATATGTCCCTCCTCTGGAGAAATATCTATTCAGGTTCTTTTTCCATTCTTTTTTTTTCCTTTTTGGTAACCGAGATTGAACCCAGGGGCACTTAACCACAGAGGTACATCCCCAGCCTTTTTAGTCTTTATTTTTAAATAATAAAAACTAAAAAAGGTCTCACAAAGTCCTAAGTGCCTCAACTAAGTTGCTGAGGTTGTTCTCAAACTTGCAATCTTCCTGCTTCAGCCTCCTGAGTTGCTGGGATTACAGGCATGCACCACTGAGCCTGGCTCTTTGTCCATTTTTAAATTAGGTATTTGACTTTTTATTGTTGAATTGTAAAATTTCTTTATATATTCTATAGACAAGTCGTTTATCAGATATTGTGATTTGCCAACAAGTACATGAAAAAATGCTCACCATCTCTAGCAGTCAGAGAAATGCAAATCAAAACCACCCTAAGATACCATCTCACTCCAGTAAGATTGGCAGCC